TTTATGTTTTTTATTTGAGATGTATATATATGTTCTCCTGGTGCACGCCTTGTTTAAAATATGCTGTTCTAAAAACTCATATAGCTGACTGTGTCCACATACAGCGGGGACCTCATAGTGAACTTTATAGTGAACTCAGTTAACTGACCGTTCAGACAGATGATCACTGCTTTTTGCTCTGTTGGTCACATAACTCCGCCTGCGCCATCTTTGTTATTAGTCGCTGCTGTCGAGTAGCGACAGCCTATGGCGACAGCAGGCCGCTGTGACAGCAAATCCCAGAAAGCTGTGCGAGGAGAGCTCTCCTCGCAAAGCATTCTGGGATTTATCTGCCTGTTCTGAGGCCTTTCTTTTCTTCTCATACACTTCGTAGACACTTTTTCATTTGCTTCAATGACCGTCTGAAACCGTAGCTCACCACAGATATGAGCCTGAAAGAAAAAGATCGCTAACGGGACATGCGCGTAGGACGGCCTTACATAAACACATCACCAGAATGATTGACAGTTAGGAGGACCACTGATTGAGATGATCCACCCGTAAATAAAAGATCATCCTCTATAGCTTGAAGCTGCATGAATGCAGCTCACACAGTAGATCGCACACAAGTCGCATATATTTGGGAATGAGAATGACCACGCAAAAGAACCGGATTTCACAAAACCATCCGAATTAAGCTTTTAAACTATAGTGGAGGATGTTCTTTTCCAGGAGTATCATCATTTAATTGGTCCTCCTAACTGTCAATCATTCTGGTGATGTGTTTCCATGAGGCCGCCCTTTGTGCTTGTCCCCATTTCCACTGACCGCTGGTGAGTCTGACATGGTGGAAAAATTACTAATCATCTTAAGTTAGCTTGTATGAGCGATGCAAACCAACTTTTAAACAGCTTGTCCACGGTATCACACGTGTTTAATAGGCGGTCCCTCTCCGGAGCGGGTACAGGGTTGAACATGTGCGTTTTTTTTTAAGTATAGAGGCCGGTTTTTTCAAAACTTCACGAAAGTCCTCCACTACACCTTTAAGGCCCACAGTGTGAACGTTATTCATTAGTGACTTGAATCTGATTAGAACTGCACTGAGAATTAAATATTGAGCGATGCAGAAATGTTTCTTTGTGCTTTGACACACAACATTTACTTCAAAGTTTTTTTTGGAGTCGACTTTAAAGATGTCAACTAATAGTTGCAGCTCTGCTATAAATACCTGCTAAATAAAGCTGATGTAAATCAGGACGCCATTGCTCATGTGCCAACGTTGACGCAAACATATTTATTTTCCCCTTCTGGTTTTCCGTCAGCGTAAAGATGGTTCCCGGGTCACCAGGTCATTGCTGCTGGTCTCTGAAAGAAATGCTCGCCATGTTGTGGGAGTTCTCCGTTACCTGGGGCGCACTGCTACGCATCTACCTCCTGTGCTTCTGAGATTTGCTGAACGGGTGTGTTTGTCCCGTGAAGAACAGAAGATCAGTCGACCTCTCTGTAGATATCTAAAGAGCTTTGGAGTCTGCAGGTATGTTTAATGGTATCACTCAGTTCAGATAAATGTTTTGTTTTTTTTTTCTTTTCAAAAAGGGAAATGAACGTTGTTGCATGTAGGGAAATTATTATTATGTTGACTCTAAAATCTCTGTAATAAATAAAATTATTGCTTTATTTTCAAAACTGATCAACATTGAAAATGTTAACTGATAATCAAAAAATAATGAGACTAACACAACTCACACCAAAATGAACTAGCTTTGGTGAGATAGGCCTTATAAGGCTTTTGATAGTATTACTGAAGGACTTTCAGTCCCGTGTCTTTTGGCTGGCCTACCAGATTTTTGCTCCACCCTTAGAAAGATGGGAACCAGGAGGCAGGAGGACGTTAGGGCTACTATTTGATCCCAGGAGACTAGAAGCCAGCATAGACATGGATAGACCCCGGGTGAGAGGTGTGCCGACAGAGCGGCCTTCTTAGGTCAGACCAAGCTGCTGTCAGAGACAATAAGTATCAATTGAAGCTAATGCTATTTTGTGACTTCAGGCACTAAATCCTCTGAACTCTCAAACGATTTCCAGATAAATTGGATGACTGTAAACATCAAGGTGTCAGGGGCTACATGTTACAATTTCTTGTCTAATTTATTACATAGTTTCTATTTTATATTGACTGTTAGCAAAGTTCCAGAGCTACCTCTCAGAATAATGCCAAACTTTTTAATCCATCTATGGGCTAGTCATTACAATCCTGTGAGCATAAGTCTGATCTAAAGGATAGTTTCTTCATGTGTGCATATCTCTATGTGTTTTTATATATATATATATATATATATATATATATATATATATATATATATA